GCCCAGGGTGACCCAGAAGCTTCAGGACTCAATGAAGAACAGATCTGGAATCTCAAAAACTTAGTCTTATCACTCTACGCTTAACACCACACCGGATGTGTCCCGTGTTCCTCTGCCTGGCATATTCCACCTAGCCTGGGAAGCAGAGACCCTTACCGACTTCAAATGACAAAAAAAAATTGCAGCTGAAGGTGGGGGGCATAGAGACCATGAGTGGGCTGGCATCATTAGAACCTGTAGCTCAGAGAACTTTTAGCTGCACAGAGAAAGCATTAGTTTCCTTCTACATTTGAATGGACTCAGAAAAGACAGCATTGCTCTTCGGTTAGGTCTTTCCATGAACTTTGTGTTACTTCATTTAGTGTACATTTATTAATGCGAAGCACTTAGCCAATCTGTATAACCGGATTTAAACCATGACCAGTCATGGCTATTGAATTATCTGGAAATGTTGTGTTTCTATAAAAGATGTTGCTACAAGCCATTCCGTACATGGTTTTACCATGGAAAATGGTATACAAATGTGATGATGATTATAATGATGATGATGAAAGCTCATGTTCCAAGGCAGCCTGTTGAATATTTAAACCACCAGCTGGGGAGATTGCCTAGCAGCAGGACCTACTGCTTTCATGTCCTGCTTGCAAGAAGCACTTGAGTGGCCGCTGTGTCATGTGTGGCACTGATCTGGATCGAGAATTGCATAGGTGTTTTGTGTTGTCAAGTTAGAACCGAGTTATAGCGATCCTAAGAGGGCTTTCAAGGTAAGCGAGATGTTTAAGGAATGGTTTTACCAGCTCCACTCCCCCAGTCAGTTTCCATGGCTGAGCGGGGATTCAAACCCAGTTCTCCAAAGACTTAGTCTGTTCCTCTATCCGCTATGCAACACAGGGAATCCACATTGGATCTACTGTTAGTCAGATCTAATAGAACCCGTCTTACATAGAGCAAAACCAGCCATTGCAAACGTCCCACAAATATATTGACCTTGATTACTATGTTCTTTAAGCAGCTTTTTCTTTTCAGAACGGAACAAAGACGGTTCCAAGATAGGAGATGAAAAACTAGATTTCACTCCGATTTAGAGGCTTAGTGAGGGCAGCTGGCCGGACAGTGCAGCCCCACTGCTTAGCACACGAATAGATGTGTCTGGAAGGAAAGAAGAAAAACTCGTGGATTTCTTTCCTTGTGGCGTTAAAATTCTACAACCATTGTAAACTCTCCACAAGTGCATGTGGGCACAGGATTTCTCGTTATGCCAAGGAAATAATAAAGTCACAGAAATCCTACACTGAGGAATATTTCTGCTTTGCCTTGCAATTCCTCAAGCAAGCACTTGCTTAGCAGAATAGCGGGGGGCATCTATCCTGCCGCTATCCTGATGCTAGTTATACCAGATTCTCTTCCACATCCTATTTTCAAACTTTTACAGTGGGCCAGTACTGGCCTTTTCTGCAGTTTACCATAAAACTGTTTTTGGCAGAAGCTGCAATCCTACAGCAGACAGTAAAGAAGCTAAATTATACTTAATACTTCAGTCTTGTTGGCAAGGAAAAAGAAAGGAAACTCCATACCACTGCCTCTTTTGTAGGATGGGGTGGATTAGTGAATCATGGTTAATGAGGTCAAATTGAAAAATGTTTGTGCTTTAGATGCAAATATATGTCCAGTGGCAAATACATGTTGCATCTGGCAAAACATGCCACACTGTGTCTCTGCACAAACCCATCAAAATAATTCAATACAGGCACCAAAACAGCACGGCAGTGCGTGGTTTACAACCTGGCTCCTGATGCCCCCACCTCATGGCACAATGCAAAGATATGAAGAATTTTCAGTGCATTAAGAGCCTCATGGCGCGGTGGTTAAATTGCCATACTGCAAGCAAAACTGTGCTCATGTCCCAGGGTTCAATCCCAGGTAGCCGGCTCAAGGTTGACACAGCCTTCCATCCTTCCAAGATTGGTAAAATGAGTACCCAGAACACTACAGGAACGATAGCCTGCATAATTAACTTGTAAATTGCCCAGATAGTCTTTTAAGCACTCTAGGGCTGTATACAGTGGTGCCTCGCAAGACAATTGCCTCGCGGGATAATTAATCCGCAAGACAATTGGTTTTTGAGATCGCTGTTGCGCTTCGCAAGACGATGTTTTCTATGGATGATTTTCGCAAGACAATTTCCCCCCATTGGAACGCATTAAATAGATTTCAATGCATTCCAATGGGGAATCACGTTTCGCAAGGTGATGTTTTCGCAAGACAGCGTTTTTTGCGAACGAATGAACATCATCTTGTGGGGCACCACTGTATAAGCCACACACCACTTTTTTTGTTCTCTATGATTTAGATTGCCTCGAATTTTCAAGCCTGTCCCCCAAGATTCCTCACCTCCAATATGAGAGGAAGGAAAGTTTTTTTTTTAAATCATCAAGGTCTCTACAATTTGCACAAGAGGCCCCATACACAAGACCAGTGTGCTTTTTCTTTCTGCCGCCAAGCCCACACACACAAACAGCAAGCACAAAAGGACTGGCCAGTTAAGCAAAAAGAAACAAACAATCCGCCCCAGTCTCCTGATTTTTAAACGTCCGTGCAAAAAAGGCAGTGGCTACTGCAATTCTTGCCCCATCATGGCAGGCGTTTTTTACCTGGGCGCTCTGGATCTTGATCCACCTGCTCTCCGAACTAGGTCTTCCAGGGTGAGGGTTTCATATTCCCTGTAGGTTGTGGCCTTCCATGATTTCTGGACAGCATTAATGGCTTTCACAAAGTCAAAGTTGTTCACATAGGGCTTCTGGAGACGTCTGAAGACAGGCAAGCGAGAGTTTACAAAAGTCATAATGCCGCTTCAGTCAAGCACGGCTGTGCCAATTCAAAGCTTGCTCAAAACTATCCAAAATTCACCCCATCTTTGAAATCCTGGTGCAGCACCAAAGGGCTTTGTGATTAATACAGTGTCATCCTCTGTATTCCTAGGTTACAGAAGTGGTCCCCAACCTTGGGCCTCCAGATGTTCTTGAACTACAACTCCCAGAAGCCTTTGCCACCACCTCTGCTGGCCAGGATTTCTGGGAGTTGAAGTCCAAGAACATCTGGAGGCCCAAGGCTGGGGACCACTGGAACCAACAGCAGCATTAAACCCCTGCCCCAAGGAGTTTATAACTTTAGGGTCTTATACAGGAAGAATAACAGCATTATAGAGAACGGAAGCAGCGTGGCTTAAATTCAGCAGCTAGAATAGCTGAGAGATTTCAGTCAGCTTCCACGTCAGCAGCCTTCTTCTCCCTGGAAATGTTCAGATAGGGTGAACTACAAAACCTATCATCCCAGCCAACATGGCTGTTGGTGGCTGTGGATGATGGGAACTGTAACCCAACACATCAAGAGAGTGTCAGGTGGGAGAAGAGAGGTGAAGGCTCTCCAGGTGTCCTTGGGCTGCAACTCTCAGTATTCATCGCCAGCTATACCGGCAGTGGTTGATGGGAGCTGTAGTCCAACAGTGAAGAAAAGAGTATGATCAGTATAATCAATATTATGTATGTCTCAATAAGTAAGCGAGACTCTGTGCTAGGCTTTATGACTAATGCTTTTTATATGGAGCTACATATTAGGTTCTGTATTCGTATCCAAGTCAAAAATAAATTAAAATGTTAAGATAATTAAGACTATTTTAGAACAGAAACAGGCTTACTTCAACAATGTTATTGTAGCCATTTGCTAGATATTTTTTCGTACATGTGGTGGGGCATAAATTGCATGCGTAGAAATGCCGTATTGATTGAATTTCCCCACAGTCACAGAAAAATTGTCCTGCATCCAAGTAGCTCCATTTTACTTGATTATTCTTTGGTCTTTCTGCTTTGCTTCCAAGCCTATTAAAGTAACTTCTAAATGGTCCAGCTAGATCTTATCCTGCTGGACATATTAAGGTTGTTGTAGCAAACTCATCAAGGTTGAGGAAAGAGAATAAAAGAAACTACAGGATGTAACCTAGTGACAGAAAAATTCTGTGTTTCATTAGAAAAAAAGCAAACTATGTAATTTGTCTCTTCCTGTACATCTGTGCCTCTGTGTCTGAGACCCAGAACTTAAGTCCATTTCATGCATGATCTTATAATTTCCAAATAAACAAGACCTGTTGGAAAACAGGTTTGTTTTCTGATTCTCACACCTTCACGAGTTTACATATACATAATGTACCGCCCGTAGGTGCCCTGCAGGCAGAAAGTCTCTGGATCCTGGTGACATTACTACACAAGTGTGGGTGAAATAGAGAATTCGCTTGAGAGCCTGTCACTCACTTTCCATAGGATCTCTCGAGAGGCAGCTGGTTTACACGGACTCCAGAGTCTGAAGGCGCGATCTTCTGTCCTGTGAAACAAGCCCAGTTATGGCCTAACACGTCATGAACCCATCCTGGTAGAGTCTCATGACAGTAACTGGTTACGTTGGACCCTTCCTTTTTATACTGGGGAGGAGAAGAGAGAGAGAGAGAGAGAGAGAGAGAGAGAGAATGTCTGTCAGATCTGATGGAGTTCACAGGTGCTCAAGCACACAGACGACCACGAAAGCTCCCCGATTCAACCCACAGCATCATCCACTGGAGCTGGGAAAAATTAGAACTTCGAAATGTTGTATTAGCCTGAACCCATTAATTTAAATTTGACCCAACTCTGGGAGGCAGTGGAGGACAGGAGGGCCTGGCGTGCTCTGGTCCATGGGGTCACGAAGAGTTGGACATGACTTGACTAAATAACATTACAGTGGTGCCTCGCTTAACGAGCGCACTGTATAACGACGAATCCGCATAGCAATCCCGTTTTTGGGGTCGCTAATGTGGAGGCATAGCGTCGGCCCCAATGGGCAAAACTCGCATAGCGAAGATCGGTAAGCGTTTCGCTTACCGATCTTCGCTTTGCAACGCCCGCAGATCAGCTGTTCGGCAGTTTCAAAATGGCTGCCGGACGCCCAAAATGGCCGAGCGCAGCGTTTTCGCGCCCTCCCCTCGCTTACCGAGGGCGCGAAAATGGCTGCCGGACCCTGGAAACTTCGCTAAACGGTGAGTTTTGTGCCCATTTGGAACTTCCCCGTTCCGTTTAGCGAAGTTTTCACATAGCGAAGGTTAATCCGGAACGGATTAACCTCACTATGCGGGCCACCACTGTAATTAAAAAAAACAAACAACAACACCATTAAGATGGTCTCATTCATTGACCCCGAAGCTCTCTTCACCTCTTCCTTTTTCTTCTTCTTTAGCCTACCTGGAAGTTGGATATTGTGAAAGTTCAGAAATTTTAATTGAGCCATTGACTTATTCATTTAACATTAAACTTATTCACTGAACATTAAACATTAAATAATTAAAACACCACTCACAATGACTTACACTGTACTTAGTTCAGAGTAGTGAACTGCCACTAGATGAGTGGGGCAGAAATCCGACAGACTAGACAGATTTGAGGAGAGGCATGGGTCATTTTTTAAAAAAAAATATGTAAAGTTATAACACCTATTTTTATTTGCACATAGTTAAGCTGAGCTCACTGAAATTGTTGCTTATTTCCTAAATTTATAAAAGCTTCAACTTCAGTGCTTCAAATGTAAAATGAAATGATCGGAGAAGGCCCGTTTCAAGAGGCGCATGAGATTTTTACATTTCTTAAAACGGGGGACCCTGCGATGTGTCCCATCATGTCAGCTGGTGAATACATAAGGCAGGGATTTCTCTGTAGCAATTCCTGAACTGTGGAACTCCCTTCCAAAGGAAGCCCATCTGTGAAGGGCAGCCAAAACTACCAAAACCCAAGAAGCTTTTGGTCTTTAAAAGTGACTTTGAACATTGTTTTTCATCTGCTTTTAAAGAACATTTCATCTCTTTTATTTCACCCCCATCATTCTGGGTGGCCTTGAGAGGAGAAAAATTGATCAATAAATATGTATTTAATATCCAATAAATACATAAAAGTTGAGAAACCCTGTTTCCAGTCAAGACATGAATGAGCAAGTAAAGAATAGCCATTTCTCCTCTACCGCTTCCAAGGGTTATATGTAGACAGATGCCAGGTGCAATTACAAATCATTTTGAAGAAGCAGCCACCGTGTGCTGTTCGTGCTTCAAGTTATTAAAAAAAGGAGGGAGCTTCTATTGCCAACCTCATCATTCATCACGCTTGGGACCAGCAGGCAAAGAAAAGGGCCGAAGGCAGAGAAGAGAGGAGCTGTCGCATTTGATGTGGTTGCTTTCATGGTATGAAGTTCCAGGACGCCATTCCAAATGCACCACAGTTGATTGTGGCTCCAGTTTACAATTGTGAGCCTCCAGTACCCCTTTAATGGCGGCCCTTGTCCTGCCTTTATCTGCTGTATACAGAAGAGGTCCCCAACCGCCGGTCCGCGGCCCAGTGCCGGTCCGTGGCCTGAGCCGGACTGGGCCGCGGAGACAGACCTCCCCCTCCACGCACTCCCCCCTGCATAGCCCATTTGTGCCTGCAAATGAACAGACCCACACAAGCGCTGTGCCACCATTTTCGCATGGAGCGCCCACCGCTCCTTTGCGCAAGTGCATGAATGCCTTCGCACATGCACATGCGTGCAGGGGGTGCACCGCCTTCCCAGCCCGCTGGTTTATAGGATGCACTACAATGCGTGCAGGGGGTGCCCCGCCTTCCCAGCCGATCCACTTGGGGACCGCTGGTTTATAGGATGCACTGCAATGGATGGATTCAGGCATTCACAGCTGATTGTGAAGCATATCTCCCACATTCCTGATAAGGGTGGGCAGAGGGCAATATAAATGACGTGTGGGTGAGTTTTGGACAATGGCTTACATTATTTTCCTTGCAATAAAACTAATTTTAAAAGCTTCAAATGGGGGGAAATAGCTAGCTTCTTATGAGATTGGAGATCCCCCTGCACAAAACTATGGATGAGGCCCCATGTGGAAAAGTTACTCTTTTGGATTACAACTCCCCAAATCCACCAGCCGTTCTAGCTGGGAGACTTACGGGAGCCCTAGTCCAAACGAAGTAGCTTTTCTGGACTCCAAGATGCAGTTCAAACCTCTGCCCTTTTGCCTCACATGGAGGAGATGAGGGTTATCTCGACATTCAGTTGGTAGCTAGCACTGTCTCCAGGCCTCGCCTCTCATCCCAGCAAAGAACTTGCAAATTGTCATCTGTCACCTATCATCATTAAGTCCCTAAAGATAATGGTAGGTGCCCAAGAAAGATAGAAACAGGACTATCACAAAAGCTTAAGCTGTACTTTGACCGAGCTCCTAACAAATTTGCTTGGACCTGAAAAAAACACTGAAGAGAAGAACAACTATCAGTTTTCACTACAATTCCCAAGGTTTGGATCTTAATAGACCACGACACCTTCTAACTTTCTGGGGGGAAAAAAACCTTTAATGGTATATTTTAATGGGTTTCAGCTCTTTCCGATTGTTTCTTTTTCTTTTTCTTTTTTTTAAAGAAGAAGCTGGCTCAAATTTAAACAATTACAAGAAGCAGAAACACATATTTGTACAGTGGGGTCTCTACTTAAGAACGTCTCTACTTAAGAACAATCCAACTTAAGAACAGCTCCATTTGCTAAATTTTGCTTCTACTTGAGAACAGAGATCCAAGATAAGAACAGGAAAAAAAACCTTTCCTGCTCTTTTTTTAAGGTCATCTTAGGTTTTAAAAAAATTCTCCCCCTAGTGGTAGAGTACGTATTAACCAGCTTTGCATTAGTTCCTATGGGAACTAATGCTTCAATGTACGAACGCACCTCTACATAACAAAAAAACAGCCAGAACGGATTAATTGGTTTTCAGTCCATTCCTATGGGAAATTTTGCTTCAACTTAAGAACGTTTCAACTTAAGAACACCATTCCAAAATGGATTAAGTTCTTAAGTAGAGGTTCCACTGTAGTTTCTATGGACGGAAAAGAGCAGATACGGATTAAATGGTTTTCAATGCATTCCTATGGGAAATGCAGATTCAACATAAGAACTTTTCAACTTGAGAACCACCTTCCAATACGGATTAAGTTCTTAAGTAGAGACCCCACTGTAGATGTGAACCTGGGCTTTCCTGCATTCTTCAATTGTTAAGACCTTTAATTGCTCAAATGCTGCAATTCAGTCAGTGCTCGTGTTATAAATATTTATGTCTTTTTTCCAAACCCTTCCTCCCATTTTTTCCTTTGCATCTTAGGAGGGGAAAAACACACAACTGTACAAAACAACTAGCCCTTGCGCCTGGAATGAGCTGGACTCTTAGCTGTCTCTGTAAGTTTCTAGACTCAAATGCAAGGATTATTCTGACCAGACCATTTTTGAATCATCAGGTGGGCACCTGGCTGGATAGCTTACTGGTTTAGGTAGCCAGTTGTCGAGCCAGAGTTTGGGAGTTTACTTTCCCCACTGTGCCTCCTTGTGAGTAAAACCAACCTATGTAATCACAGGCGAGCTGCACAGGCCCAGAAAGGAATGGTAAAACCACATTTGAGTATTCTCTACCTGGAAAACTTTGAAAAAGGCTACCATAAGTCAGAACTGACTTGACGGTACATGATTATTTTATTTAGTGGGTGGAAGGGTGGGGTTCAGATTGAGCAAGGGAAAAAGAAGTTGAGCAATTTAAGAAAAACAGAAGTGAATCTTAAATCAGCAAAATAAAGCACTTGTTCAACTACAATAGAATGTGATGAATACCAAAGCAAATTTTGCTTCTATTTTCTGAGTCTTGCCATGCTGAGACTCTCCAACAAGATCCCCCCCCCACCAGCAGTCTGAGTTCTCTGCTTCATACTGTACCAAGAGCCCAGTCCTATTCCACACATACACCCCCTTTTCCCAGTTTTTGCTTGCAGTTCTGCCCAGAAGATTGTCAAATCCTGCATTTTAATGCCCTTCCTCTCAATTCTGAGCAAGAAAGATGCCTTTCTCTGCAAGATCTGTAACAATCCTTTGGAGCTTGGTTTTCCTTCCAGGGGAAAAATAATAATAATTTCAAAAAATCCTATAAAATTTCCAAGGAAGGGAAAGATCTCATGCCATGAAATTTCATTGCAAGGATAAAAGACATTTTTTTTCATCCTCTATATCTCTCCAAAAGCAAGAAGCTGCGAGACTCACATCTATTTAGGCTGCAAATTAGTAGAGCTCGGTGGTATAGTGTTTTGGTGTTAATGTTATTAGATGCAGAACCTACAATAAAATAGTGCAGTGTGGGTGCTTCGCTGTTAACTACTAGCATCCTATTCCACCTCCTCCACATGCATTGGCAAAAACAAGACAGTATAAAGGAAGCCCCAAAATCTAAACTGCATAATGTCTGTCTTGCAAAACCAGAAAGCAACAACACCCTTTGACTCAAAGAGTGAAGGCTCCGTTTTTGACCAGCTGGACCTTCAGGATCACTTGACCCTTCCAAAGTCATCAAGAGTTCTCTAAGGGAACGATCAGATTACAGACACATCCAAACACTTCCGCGACAGGCTGAGACTTTGCACTAGTTGCACTAGATCACGAGTTGCAACTTTCAGAGAGTTGTCCACACCATTCTTAGAAACCACAAAAGGCAAACAGGAGCTTACTCATCAAACGGGACTGCGAGCAGAAGAGAACTCAACCGCTAGAGGAAATTTTCCTGGTCTGCCCTAAGAGCCACTTTTACGGTGGAGAACGCCCATTTCAGAATGGTAGTGGGCTTTTTTAACAACAGCTCTTTCCAGACCTGAGTCAATCTGCTAAGGCTCCGATTACACCGAATTTCAGAGGGAAAAGACAGTTCCCAAAGACACAAGGATTGTTATCTTTTTTTAAAAAAAAAATCTTAGTGCGCTTGGTTAAGAGCTTTCTTGCGTACAGGCGGGGAGATTTTTATCTCAACGTGTCTGCACATTATTCTGACCATTGTGTAATACACTGATCCCCTACTGTGTGCATCAAAAACTCAGAAATGTTATATTTTACACCAGTTCCTCAACCAGTGCAGCTAGTTCCGAGGTTGGATGTGTACACATGCACACTGAAGCTTGCCGGGATTCATCACTGGGATATGGAGCTCAATTAACAAAATAAATCAATAAACATAGGTAGGTAAATGTTATCCTTTAGGCCTGTATTCGAAATGGAGGGAGGACACGTTTAATGGCCTTCCTCAAGCCTGAGCTCATGACACAGACTACAAGTCACATCATTCTAGTTGCCAACAGAAATGGTGGTCTTCAGCTCAAGAAGTCTGGTTAAGAGGTGACAGATCAGGGGAGGGATTGCCAACAGAAATGGTGGTCTTCAGCTCAGGAAGTCTGGTTAAAAAGTCACAGATTAGGGGAGGAAGATGGGGTGAGCTGAAGGGAGCACGAAGGGGTCAGCTGACAGCCAGAAGAGGATGGTGGTTGGAGGGACGAACTGATGAGGTTACTTATTCTAATCACACTCATCTCAAGACTTCAGTTTACTGTGAATTTGTTCTTCTTGTTCCTCCCACACATGCTTTGTGGTTAACAGTTGGCAAAACCTCTGCTTCAAGTGTTCAAACAAATGCAAACAAGAACATCCAATGAAATCTAATATATAATTTGCAAAGTTTCTGCACCTACAGAGACAGAATGAAGACGTTCTGCTTCACTAATGGTTAACTCGGGCATTACAAATTGGTGTCGATTCACCACGTATAGAAGGAAGAGTTCTCTACATCCACCCACTCCCCTCACTGACTCCCATTTCCAGTTTCACTACCCTCTCCTACACAAGGGAGGACAAGGAGAAAGAATAGAAAACTTGACAGGCACTGAACTTTACTGCCTTTCTTAATAGTAATAACTACATGCCATCAAGTCAATTCTGACTTAGGGAGACTCTTTCCAGGGTTTTCTATACAGTGGTGCCTCGCTTAACGACAATAATCCGTTCCAGGAAAATTGCTGTTAAGCGAAAGCATTGTAAAGCGGAATTAAAAAGCCCATTGAAACGCATTGAAAACCCTTCAATGCGTGCCAATGGGCTGAAAACTCACCATCCAGCGAAGATCCTCCATGCGGCGGCCATTTTTGGTACCTGTATAGCGAGGAAACTGTCCCCAAGCACAGCGGGGAGCCATTTTAAGCACCCGGTGGCCATTCTGAAAACCTGACGATCAGCTGTTTTTGATCGTCGTAAAGTGAAAATCGGTTCCAGAAGCAGGGAACCGATCATCGCTAAGCGAAATTCCTCCATTTAAAACATCGTTATGCGATCGCAAAAACATCGTCATAAAGCGGATTTGTTGTAATGCGGGGCAATCGTTAAGTGGGGCACAACTGTATAGAGAATACAGACATGTGGTTTATATCATTCCCATCTTCTGGGGGCACCCTGGGACTCTGCAGCTTGCCCAACGCCATGCAGGCTGGATCTTCTCCTGAGAGGAACTGTGGGGAATTGAACACTCAGATTAACCTCCACTGGCACCAGCTAGCATGGCCTATGGCAGTGCCAGTGGGGACAGGAGCTGTGATCCAGTGCATCTAAAAAGCAGCAGCTGGAGGAAGGTTACTGCAATTCTGTTCAATCCTTCATGGCTAACCCATGAAGTCATCAGATTAAATCACCAGAACTACCAAATCAGGAACTGCATGGTGAGTAATTTATTATCCAATCAAATTGCTCCCCTCCCCCATACTCTAAAGATTAAATGCCAATTATTTATGTATTGCTCTTGATCATTTACCTAGATTTTTAATAAGAACAACTAAATATTTTAGAAGATGAAGCACCAACTGCCACTTGGCCCACTCTTCAAATACAACTGACAACAATACTGTATCTTTTTATTATTCCATAGGGGAAAAGACAAATCAACCTACTCAAGCAATACAGCAGCAATTCAAAGCCTCTATTTTAATCCCACCACATTGTGGAGGAAACATGACAAGGAATGGGAAGTGGAAGTAGGAACATTTACCTTAAAAAACGCAAACCACTTGTAGTTGTTCAACACAACCTCAAAACCTTGGTTGTAAATTATCGTGAAGAAGCCGTAGTTCCCTTGACTGTCCTGAGCAATGTCGACCTTCTGAAGGCTCACGATGACTTCTTTTTCCACAGGACCTAAAGAGAAGGCATAAAGTGAATGTTCATCCATAGGAGGTCAAGCACTCAATGTAGCAAGAAGAGCAGTAGCCGTGGCAATGTGTGTTAAAAAAAAAACTGGACACAGAACCAGTTCTGTATGCCGTGGCAATGTGTGTTAAAAAAAAAACTGGGCACAGAACCAGTTCTGTGTTATCATAAGGATGGAAGGCTGAGTCAACGTTGAGCCAGCTACCTGAACCTGTTGGGATCAAACTCAGACCATAGCTACCCGAACCTGTTGGGATTGAACTCAGACCATGAATAGAGTCTCGACTGCAGTACTGCAGTCAAACCACTTTACTCACAGGGATTTGGCCCTAGGAAGATGAGATGCAGCCTAACCCTCTAAAACTCTTTCCTTGAAATCAGTAGGCTTTAAAAGTACTTCACTAAGGTTTGCTCATTGAATAAAAAAGAATGTGCGCTTGTCCATCAGTTAGAGCCAAGCCTCCAGGCTGAGCACATTCCATAGTACTGTATTAAAAAGGCAACAGCAATTGGAAATGAGCATTTCAATCAATCTGTCGCCATCAACATTTCCAACTGGGTTCAGGTAAAGCCGGTGAAAAGAATATAGGAAGGTCTTTCCCTTGAAATCAAAACATGCTGGGCAAAATACCAAATCAGAGTAAAAATACTTACTTTTTCCACATATAAGACTATACTTTTGTCTAAAATCTTTAGACTAAAAATTGAGGGTCGTCTTATACACGGATGTAAGCTGAGGAGAGAACAAAAACAAGTGGAGGGGAAAGCAGGGATCAAAGCGATCCTGCAGTGCTTTGATCCCTTTCCCCCTGCACTTGCTAAGCCCCACTTAGATTTCTTAATTTTGGATTAGAAAAGTGGGGGCGTCTTATACATGGAAATACGGTAAATCCACAACTGTCCTTAGGTATTTTGTCTGTCTTCAAGGAACAGTCACATCACATCCAATACACAGGAGTGTGGGACAGTGGAAAAAACGAGCAAAGAAAGAGACTGATGAAAAAGTAATGTGAATAAGGCTGGAAGGTGTAGCTTGTTTTATTTTCCTAACACTCAAGAATGGATTCGCCTCCAGATTTCAGAAGGGCACCCTCTAAATTTTGGCACCCTCAGCTGCCCAGGCTTAAATTTTATGACCTCACAGACAAGCCCAAAAGATATTTCTTGTTCTGCTACTTAAAACTACTAGAGGCTGAAAAAAGAATTTATTGTTTTTACATGACTGACTTCCTGACAATTCTCATGTGACACCCTGGAGGTGGGGAAATTCCAGGGCTGCTCTTTCTTAGCATTCTCTTCTAAACCCGTGACTGGAAGGGAAAAAGCAAAGTGCAAGTATTTTTTAAGGAAGTCACAGAGAAGAATCAGAGCATGTTAAACCAAACCACCACTGCTTCCATCCATATAAACACTCCTTTCCCTCTACTTCCCCCTTTTGCATTTCAGACTCAGCAGCCAACATCTGGAAGAACCCTCAAGAAGTGGTTCCCAACTTTGGGTCCCCAGATGTGCTTGGAGTAAAACTCTCAGAATCCTTCACTCCTAGCTGTGCTGGTAAAGTCTTCTGGGAGCTGTAGTCCAAGAAGAACCGGTGCAAAAATCCGAAACTCCCCAAATGAACTAGATCTGCCCTAAAACTCTTCACTGCTGGCTACTGATGAAGGAGGCTGCAGTTCAGAAAGATCTGGGAAAGCCGGAAGCCCCTGCTCCATGCAAACAGGAGCGTGCAGATCAGAGAAAGAGATAGCCATACATTCGACTCAACACACCCACCGAGGTGTTTGTCTGCTAAACTCCATCAGAGGTTTATTGCTAACAAAGCTCTTATGCCACAGCATGTGTTTTGATTTCCATTTCGGTTTGGTTTGACTGCAGAGATGCATGCACAGACTAACACAGCTACTTCTTTAAAAGCTGTGTTCCAGGCAGTGGCCTATATGGGGGGACATTTATTGGTCATGAGTTTTCCCAGCCTTGCAGTATTGTAATAGAGGCCAAGTTTCCCCCATTAATCCTCTGTTCTATTTGGAACTGGATGAGATTACACTCCCATTGGGGGGAGGGGAAACAGATGTGTAGTTTGGGGGTGCTCCTGGATTTATCTCCTGGGGAACTGGATGAGATTACACTCCCATTGGGAGGAGGGGAAACCAGATGTGTAGCTTGGGGGTGCTCCTGGATTTATCTCCAAACCTGGATGCCCCGGGGTCTTATTTATTTAAGTTTATATGCCGCCCATTTAGACATAGTCTACTCTGGGCGGCTCACAAAACGCAGAATAAAAACTATTAATATGAAATAACAATGTTATTGGTGGGTGGTTCCTGACAATGGGTTCCCAGATGTTATTGGACTACAACTCCCAGAAATCTTGGCCAGCACATCTAGTGAGTGAAGGCTTCTGGGAGTTGCAGCAGGAAATTCTCATGCATTCAATTGAGATTTCAGAAGGATGGAACAGACCTGGAAGATTTGTTTTACTGTTTTAGAAAAAAAAAGAAGCTTCTAAAGGTGATTTGGAGAGAAAGTTCTGAGATAGGCTTCATTCACGGATGCCAGAGTACATCAAAAGGTTTAAATAAAGACCCAGGATTCTTGCATACAGTATCTATACCAATTAGTTACAGTAGCTGATTCACAAAAATATACACAAAAATACAAGCCACTTTCTGGCTCAATAGGTTTACATTTCAAATACAGTGGTGCCTCACATAGCGATCGCTCCGCCTAGTGACGAAATCGCTTTGCGATGGACTTTTCGCCATCGCAAAAGCGATCGCTTTGCGATAGTCCCTATGGGGTGTTTTCGCTTTGCGATGATCGCAGGGAAGCAATCATCACAAAGCAACCCTTTTTGCACAGCTGATAGGTGGTTTCAAAATGGCCACTGGCTGTTTTCAGGGACGGATTCCTTGTTTTAGAGGCACCGAAAATGGCAGCGCTATGGAGGATCTTTGCTTAAAGGTGAGTTTTAAGCCCATAGGAACACATTAATCGAGTTTTAATGCGTTTCTATGGGCTTTTTTATTTCGCTTAGCGATGTTATCGCTTAGCAGCGATTTTTTCTGCACGAATTAACATCGCTAAGCGAGGCACCACTGTATACCTTATGCTAGACAAACTACTCTAGCTGGGCCGGTTGTGGGCCAACAACATTGTCTTCTCTTCTACTGGGACAAAACAAGATCACCTCTGGTGCAAGAGGACCACAAAACAGCAAGCCAGCTCTAGCTGATGTGTGATCTGTATGGCGTGAAGATATTTGCATGCGGCCAAATGCAGAATAAAAAAAAGAAATCACAAGAGAAACACATGCTTTAATAGGCCTGGCTTTGACATTTACCATATGTCATGTGCAAAACAAGCAAAATGAACTGGAACCTGCAATTAGAATAGCTGCTTATCACATCTATAATATGCAAATAGAATTCACTACAAAATTCTGGATCTGATAAAATTGCAATAATAGTAATAAAAGAAGAAAAAGGAGGAGGAGGGAAAAGAGGGCAGCATGGTGTGGTTAAAGCACTGGACTGGGACTTGGGAAAACCACCCAAGAACCTTCTGAGTCACATGGGGGACCATGGGAAAATTACTCTTTCCACCTGGCCTACGTCACAGGGCTGTTCTGAGAACAAAATTGAGACGAGGAGAGCCACGAATGTAGGGCATACCTGCAGTTGCTTCAGAAAACGTGGTGTCTATGGATCTGAACTAAGAAATGAATAAAAGAAATAAAAAGCTAGAGCCATGTCTATTAAGCACAAGACCGAAACATGCCTTCACAAACCGAGGCTGCAGAGGCAAAGCAACCAGCCCATGCAAGGCTGATAAAGAGTTGGTTTTAAATAGACTTTGAACCAGATTGAGAAAAGCAAACCATTGTTTTTCTAGGGAGGCTGATTGAGAGAAAAGATTAGAATCTATCCGAATTTATCGACCTTTTAAGCCCTAATAAATTCAACACACTTTTAAAAAAATCCATGCAAAACTTTATCTTAAAATGTGCTTCCTTTTTTGGCTAGATCACATGCTATTTACCTACACCCCCCAGCTGCCCCCCTTTTCCCCGTTGAAGCCTCTGCAAAACTGATTAACCCTTTCCTAGAGTTAGAAAACAGAGAGTCCGAAGTGACATTTGTTGTCACTGGGACTGTCTAGCTTGGAAAAGACAAGAGATGGGGGGAAATCACTTCTGGGACTACAACGACCAGAATCCCCTGCTCTCTCTGTGTGTGTTTGTTTGTTTGTGTATGTGTATGCGTGCGTGCGTGCGTGCGTGCGTTTAGCCTAAAGTAACTTTTCTAAATTCTGGAAAAGAGAGGAGGGGGTTGCTCCTAAGGCCAGTGGTCCCCCAACCGTGTGTGTGTATGCGTGCGCGCGTTTAGCCTAAAGTAACTTTTCCAAATTCTGGAAAAGAGAGGAGGGGGTTGCTCCTAATAAGGCGGCTACAATCCTCTGCCCGGCTACGTAGATTTGCCCGCCCCCCCAGATGTTCTTGGACTACAACTCCCAGAAATCCTGGCCAGTCATAGCTCGGGGGTGAAGGCTTCTGGGAGTTGGAGTCCAAGGACACTGGGAAGGGTTGGGAACCAGTACAAGGAAACCCACTGGGATTGCCTTCCCAGGCCTTGGGGGGGGGGCAATCCAGGTCGGAGTCGAAAACTGAAAAAAGAAAAATCTTATTATTTTGTGATTTAGAAAAGGATCAGGCGCACCCTCGCTCGCCCACCCCACTTACCCACGTCGGTGCAGTTGATGTGGCGGTTCGGGGCTCCCCGGCCTTGGCCCACTTGGAACTTCCAGGTGCCCAGCAGGTCTTCAAACGTGCAGTTGGCCGGCGTGTCGGCCCCGATCCGCCGGCCCTGGAGGAGGAAGAGGAGGAGGCAGAGGCAGAAGACCACCGGCCCGGGGGACAGGCGCTGCGCCCAAGTCCGCATAGCTGCGCACAGGGAGGGGGATCCCCAAAAACGCCTGGCGCCGGAGGAGAGGAGAGGAGGGGGCGAGAGAGAAAGAGAAAGAGCCCTCGGGCGACCGGCTTAAATCCGCCCCCGGAACAACGGGGCCCGGGCGCAGGACCGCCCTCGCGTGTCACGTGTGAAAAGGGCAGGCTTGCTTGCTTGCTGGGGTTTCCCTCTCCGACCCGCTGCGCGAAGGGAACGCCGCGCAGTGCCTTCTTCCCCCCCCCCCCCGGCTGCCTCTTGCTTTCTTGCGACCCCGGCGGGTCTACTCGGGAGTCAAGGGGCGCTGTGCTGGGTTTCCGGACACCACCACCCCTCCCCTCAGCAAGGCATACGTGCTTAATTAAGGATTATTTGCAAATCTTCTCTTAGCTCCCTTGCTTAGTTAAGCATTTACTCCTGTTGCATCCGAATTTGCGACGCCAGTAGGGTCTCCAAGGCCTGCGAGATATTTAAGGAACGGCTTGAACATTTTTCTCTTTCCCCCCACTTGAGTTTCCCTGGTCAAGTGGGATTTGAATTCAGGACCTCCTGCCTCATAGTCCAATCAGTCGCACCACACGGGTTGGCTAAGTAACTGTTGTTCATGCCACTCTTGGAATGATTCATGAAACTCCCAGAGTGCATTGGAAAGGGAAGGAACAAAGTGTAAACAACAACAACAACCACCATCCTTTTATTCACATAAATTGCGTGTCGAGCCCTTAAGGTATTTTGTCTGCAGCAATGCCCATTAACTCCCAGCGCAATGTACGTCTCCCCAGTAAAGGAATAGGGCACCATCTTGTGTTGCTTCTTCCCACGTTCTTTCTTACTCTTCAGGGTGATCCCGATTCAAGACAAGAGAGTGCATTATCATTTATTTATTCTTTGCATTTTTATCTCACCTTTCCTCTGGTGCGCATGGCGGTGGGCTCCCGACTTTGCCTTCACAACAAACCTGTGAAGTCCATCGGGCTGAGACACTATTGCTGGACCCCACTTGGTAGGTTCCATGACTGAACGGGAGGATCTGAACCCGGGTCTTCTGCTCTGTAGCCCTACACTCTGCCCATTCCATGAAACAGATTAACGGATAGAGTTCATTGCCACAAGACAGGCTGATGCTCATCCACTTGAATTGTTTTAAAAGGGCATTTGACAAATGTGTGGAAGACCGTTCTCAAATCAAGATGGCTGTCAAGAGAGCCCTAAAAGCACGATTTTACCTCATGAGATGGATTGACCCCTTCAAGGAAGCTTTAATGTCTGTTTTACACAAACGGAGGGAAGACTAAACCTCAGCCACAGAGTGCATATCCTCCACATTACTCTGCTGTGAGAACTGATGAGCATTCCTTCTGCCTCACTATTATTTATACAGTCCTGCCTCGCTAGACAGTTATCCCGCATGACAGTTTTTTTCGCTAGACTTTGGCTTTTTGCAATCGCTATAGCGATTTGCGAAACAGTGATTCCTATGGGGGAATTTAGCTGGACAATGCTTGGTCCCTGCTTCGCAAACCGATTTTCGCTAGACGACGATTTTGACAGCTCCCTCCGTGCTCGCAAACAGGTGTTTTTGGGACCTAAGCTTCGCAAGACAGCGATTTAAAAAGCTGAT